AGATGTTTAATATTATACGGGAGGGTGCGAGGAGAGAGATGCCGGGAAAGCCTCATCAAGGGCTTAAATTTACATGACTAACAAATTCAGACAGCAAGGAGGAAATGCAGGATCATTTGATCATTTGGCAGGCATGATGGTGGTCTGTGTGATAATGGTCATTATCATAAACAGAAGCCATCATTAGGCTTGATTTCAGATAATGGTCAGTGTGGAAACCATTTTATACCAAGAAAAAGGCTCTCCCCATTAAAGACATATTAAGTGAATTAACTCACATCATGAGTAGGGAACCACTGTGTGGTATTGCCTGGAAGGTAATGCGCTTATAATGTGAAGTGATTTCTCTTGACTGGAGACAAGTCAGCCAGTTTACATTCATAATTATTTACTTCAACTCTGCATCATTTTGCCCCCTGTAAACTAACAAACAGCATATATATTTTTAAAAACGTCTTATTTAAATTTCCTCAAAATTGTTTTGTATATATTTTTTTCTCGCAAATTTATAAATTAGTGGAACTTTGACTAGCTTTTTGTTTAGTCAATAACACTTTCCATTACGATTCCCACTTAAAAAAAGACAATGGTGCTCGCTAAATATACATAAGTCTGTGATTCAAAGATTCCCATTACCTCCTGGCAAAATGGCTGCTGTGCATCCAGAGAGAACACCTTCAGACATGACATCCTCCGCTCTCTGGTGGGAAGCACCGCGTTCTCCACAGAAGCTGCCTCTGACCCTCTGGCACTGCTGGGCCTCATCATTGCCGGTCCATTAGGGATGCTGGAGCAGGTCTCAAAACGGCCACGGCTGCACCACATTACTCCTACCACTCACTGCTGGCAGGTCCCCTAGTGGCCAGGTCATGTCATGGCATGGGTGCCCTGTGAGTGAGCTTGTACCAGGTCTGCCCTTGACATGCCCCCCCCCATCCAGCCTCCTCCCTCCTCCTCTTTCTGCTCCGTGGAGAAGAGAGGGAGAGAGCAGACTGTCCGGATGGGGCACTGGGGGTGCCAGCTGGTGCCAGCTGCGAGGGGAGATATCCAAGGTGGCGGACACCTGTCCTAACTTGCGCCCCCCAGCTCCCACAATGCATCTGCTGCAGCCCGGGCAGACCCATCGTTGGGAAATGAGGCGCTAACCTTGAGGAGAAATGCTCCCAGCGACGCATTAAGAGAGGCCCTAATTGCTGAGCGCCAGCACTGCCAAATGACATTAGGAAATGCTGTCGTTTACTTTAACATAATGGCTCAGCGTGTTTTTGGCTAAACTTCCTTTGCTTCTCGGAGGTGTTTCGCCACAGTYGCCATTTTGGCCGTGTCGTGACCAATCAGTGGAGGACTTGAAGACGACAGCGCTTCTTAAGGACAGACGTTGCAAAGACATTCGAAAAGTTTGCACTTCCAAGCTGAAATTGCACTTTCGAGTAGGAAGCGGACACTGCAGCAATCCACGACGGCTCCATACTATGAACTCACTATACCATGTTAACAGCTGCCGTTTATGAGCATGAGCATTAACTACAAGCGGCAYGAGTTATTGTATTATTTAGTCTCTCTTTTTTAATCAAACCTCTTGCTTGTATGGCGCGGGTGTTTCAAAGAACTACTAACAYGGTCCACTCAGTGTGATTAAATTAAACAAGCACGCTCATTACATTATGCATACTGTAATAAGAATAGCCCTGACCGGTCTGTAGCAGTATAGCCGGCTCCGCAGAGACTGATCACATGTTTCGCCGCTGTACCAGATTTTTTGGGGCACCCATTAGCAGAACAAAAATCACCTTTGATTTAATGAAAGGTCCTCATTTGCTTACCGGCTCTGCTCACTTATGGGCACATGGTTAAATTAAGCACTCACAGACCCCCCCCCACCCACAGTAGTCGCCTCCATCCAAAAGGAGACACCGTCCCCTCTCCTGCAGTATAATGCCGTGATGATTCTATGATCTGGTGTTTCAAGTCTGCGGGAGTGTCAGAAATCCACTGCAAGGTGCTTCTAATTGCAGATACACCTCAGCACTTGAAAGTAATGAATGTGAGCATGGTGAAACCTCCAAGGATCAAACGCTAGTAATACATCATCAGTTCTGAAAAGGGTAATTCGTTTCCCTTCGCCAAGCAAAATATTAGAAGTTCAGATAGGGGATTTTATTATTAATTTATTCTTCCCCCAATACATGATTTTGTAATTGAAGAGCTATGAATAAAGTAACCCATATATCTTAGCGAGCTGCTATGCATCCGTTGACTAGACGTGGGATTTGAGTGTGTAAATATTGTCTGTAGCAAAGCGCAACAAGGATGATTCTTCCTCAAATACGCTTTGGTGATATCTTTGATTGGATTTGGAGCCATGTATTTCCCAAGATCATAGCAAATCACTCTTTATTGTGTCTCATTTTAGATCTATAGTCTTATTTATTGTACTTTTAGCAGGCTTAACTCCTCGAATTTGTTTGAAGTTTTGTTCAAATAAATCTTCCTTTTTGTTGGCAAGACTTTTATAATTGTTTTGTCTTAAATTGAAGTGATTTCAAATCGGGAAGACATTTGTAGCAATTTATGCTCCTAGGCAAACAATCCATTGTTATTCCTAAACTTTGCTTCACCTGATCTCTCTTAAGAGTATCACCTCCAGTCGCCATGGGGTAATTGTGCCACAGGGATTCAGTCAAAATAAGTCCAGCAGTTCACTATAAGACGGCCTCTTACTGCTGGTTGACCCCAGTAGCTGCCAATCTGTTGACCCCAGGAGTGTCGGGGTAAGAAGTTCAAAGCCCAGCTGTCCGTGCCTGATCTCTCCGTCTAGGCTACGGTCGTGCACTGCAGGGGCCACTTCCCCCGCTGCCTAAAAAAACGATCTTCACCTAAACAAAATCAGTACATGCCATGCTCCTTCAATGGTGCTCAAAGCTGCTAAAACTCAGTTGAGCGCAGAGTGTTTGTGTGTTCGAGGACTGTAATTTACAGCCTCGTGATGAATGCACACTACCAACCTCGTGCAGGGACCAGAGCTTCGGCTGCTCGTGGCATCTGCTTGGACGGCCGCTGAGGAGCAAGCATAACAATGTGCCATTCACGGGCCAGATGATGTCCGACAGCGAAGAAGAGCTCCAACAGGAAGGGCAGTCGAAGGGTAAAATGACAGGAGAGGTTGATGGACTTACAAAAAAAAGTAACATTGAGTAAAACCTATATTACAAATATGATGAATATATCTGAGAAAAATCATTTGATTGTGACAGACTTTTAACCCAAAAAATTTTTTTAGTTGTAAAAACATATTTTTAATTCAAATCAAAGTTGTGGTTGTGCAGTTAAAGGAAAGTCTCAGAGACCTGTCATCTGTGGGATGCAGTCAGGAGGTGGCTAACCCTTTGGGGAGTGGAAAAAAAGTGCTGGGGGGTCTGAGGTGTAAAAACCAAAGAATTTCAGGGGCTGATAAATGAGGCTCTTCCTAACTGCATATGGTATGTGTTTTAAACTGACTCCCCCTCGGCCCTCCTTGTAGCCAGCCATCCTTCATGAAGAGTTCAGGGGCCCTCTGCAGTATGGGGGCCCTGTTTTGTTGCCAAGACAGGCCCCCTGCATAGGCTGCATATGGGACTGTATGATGACGGACTTGGCTGGCTTTCATGAATTGTTATGGTGGTGTTATAAAGGCTTCACATTGGGTCATTGTTAATTTACACTGACTTTGTAAGCTATTAGTTTTACAAAGAAAATGGTTTGTCACTCAGGATATACACCTGCTACCTGAGAATAACAGAAGTGAAATTCTAATATATCTAAAAGGAAAACAGTCAAGAAGAGGCGAATGAAATGACATCTGTCTGACGGTTTCTTAATGTAGTCTTGAAGTCAGGACAAACCTGAAAACAGCTTTGACACCACCTTCCTTTAAATAGATTCCACTTATCGAAGTAGGGAGTCACAAAAAAATGCTGTGCATGAGCGTGACACTGTGAACTTTCACAACATCAACAGCAGCACTTGTAAATTCTAACTGATGACAGTAAGGTGACCTTTTTGGAGCAACGGGCACTTAGTATTAGTCATTTCTGTACATTACRGTCGACTATTGGCCATGGTGGTTGTTCACTGTCCTTTTCTGTATTCTTTTAACCAGCCAGCTGGACACATATGCCCCCCGGTTATTTCACTGGACCTTTACCTCCTCTCTTATAACAGCACCCCACTCCCCCCAGTCTTTCAAATGTATTCTACTCATTGTTTACTGTACATACGGGTCCACAGTAATAATAAATAAGGAGCGTGTGTGCCGTGCCAACATGATTGATTACGACAGGGAGGCAAGGTCAGGATGGAGGAACAGGCTAGGGCTGTCCGACTCATTGAGTTAACACTGTATCCGTATTGTATGAATGTCACCAGCGATCCTGTGATTTATTACTACAGCCACTGCTCAATTCTCCTTTTCTACCTCCCCCCTTCTTTTGGTACCTGACCGAGATACAGGAAATGAGTAGAAGTGTAGACAAAATTCAGTATGTCAGTAAGCAGGTTACGTCTTTATTGCAACATTTTAAACTTCTTTCTAACATTTGAAGAACTTTTATTTTTTCAATTGCTGAAATACAGTATATGTTTAAAAAAGGAAAAGGTTTCTGTCCTATTTTTTTAATATTTTTTATACTTTTCAAATATGCAAATAAGCATTAACATATAGCAATGTATAAATTCCATTTCAAGTTTTCTTAAAAATACAAAGGACTGCTATAAAAAATGCCTTCCAACTTTAAACTTTATCTGTACCCCACAAGAGGTCATTAATATCAAAAAGCGTATTCAACTCATTCAAAYATGTTTTCCCTGTGGTCAGCAGCACTGTGTGATCCAAACAACAACAGCAAAAGAAATCTGAAGATCTGACTGAATTGTTTACTTGCTTGAATAACACACTAAAAAAAAGAAAAAGAGAAGTCATTGTCACTTTCAACAATATATACTGAACTCCCCTTTCTTTTCAGAGAATCTAACCTTTCGTCTTGGACTGAATACACAATGCCCCACTGGACCCCTGGACTGCTCACTCTTTAGTGCATGTCAAGAAGACACCAGTCTGGACCATTTCCTCTGGGAGGTGGGTAAGCAAGCGCCACGCTCTGTCAGTTAGCGTAAAATGTTTCAGACTGAAGATGGATGGAGACGACGTGTCACTACGGCTCAAACAGGCTTTCACTGCTGCCATGGCCATGTCCTGGTCACATCAACCCAAGCGACCGCATCGCTAGGACCTGTCCTTCCTTTTGAGTTAGCATATACACTACATGACAGAGCTTGTGGCCTTCACTCACTCAGGGCAGCAAAATAAAAAATAAAAAAAGACAAACAAAACAAAAAGAAGGACTCTCAGTATGATGGGCCATCTGGATAAAACTGAATGTTTTGATTGATTTGTTTTGTTTGAGTAAACTTTGACTTTTTTTGACGGTAAATGAAATACAAACAGAAACCCATCAGTAGCTACCCCATCCCTTTATTTTTGCGCACCTTGATTTCAAGTCCCAGAACATCACAGTTAAAACAAACTTCAGTGAAAGAAAAAAAAAACTTGAAGGGTTTAGATGAGAGAAGGCCTTGACATGGAAAAACTTGGGGTGTTGACCTCTTTGTTTGACCCCCACCCCCCCTACCCCAATATGTTTCCACAGGCAATTCCATAACTCTCTAGCCAACATTTAAATGCTTCCTGTTAGACAGGAAGTTCCACATCACTCTGTGGGACCTCAGCTAATGCTCAACTGTGCAAAACGGCAGCATGAAGAACCCACAGTTAATTTATATCACGTCTCATCGCCTTTTGTGGAAGACTGCACCCGCGTATGTACACATTCGGAGAGTAACGTGAAGCTTTTTTGGGTGCAAACACACACACAACCGTGCTGGACTCAAAGTGGACCCCTCTTTTGAGTCCTGAGTAGAGTATGCAGTGACCATACGTACTCGGTGAAGTAAAAGTCTCTGCATGACAAGATATTTTTCTCACACTTTTACTCTCCCTCTCGGTGTCTCCTATTCACTCGCTCACTTTTTCACTATGTTGTTATTGGAATGTGTGTATGTGTGTGTGTGTGTGTGTGTGTGTGTGTGCCGGTGCGGACTGTGAAACTGATGAATGACCAGCCATGGCAGATTCATAGTCCGGATCTTGGTGCAGCTGGAGAGGAAACTAATGGCAAGCTGGGACTGTGGAGGTCTCAGAGCTAATACCTGTCTCTTCCATCAGGAGACCTGGGGGCATTTTTTTACACCCAGCCAAATAAGAGCAACCCCCCACCACCAGCAGCTCTCCTACTTTTAACACCTTCCAACTCTTTGCTGCCCCCCCACCCCCCAACAAAAACCCTATCTTTCATACACATGCACGCAAGTACACACGTGCAGCCACACACGGTCACACACCCCTGCTGAGTCCCCAAACTGTCCGAACTGTACGGTGTGTGTGGGAAAAGACTTTAATAGTGAATGGGTGGCCTTCCAGGTACCGGGCATCAGCTGTCTGAGAGTAAATGTGCAGCAAAAGACAAGGATGGGCACTTAAAMTGGACGTTGGCTTTCACTCCCTGCTGATCAGCCACACCATGAAACTCTTGTGGAAGGTGAATTCATGCAGGTTGAAGTTGCACAAAAGGAAACAATGTTTTTTTTTTCCTTCCCACAACTTGTATCCAGGACCCATGTCTCAATACATATATTAATGTTTGCTGTCGTACTGTATGCCTCCCAGTGTTCTCCTCATTAGTGTTCTATACTGTGCTCATCCTGAGAGCAGGCTGTGGAATTAGAATCAGAGCGCTAGTGGAAGTCATTAGTCAGTTTTGAGTGTGCATATGTTCAATTGACCTGCAGTATGTAAATTCCTGCAATGCTGGCCTTGCATATGGGCCACGTGCCTCACTTGAGGCCCGTCCAGCATGGCGCCTCATTACAAAGCGGCTTTCCAGAGTCCTCTCTGTTAATTAGAGAGCCTTTGTCCGTCACGTGACTGTGTTGCTCTGACACTCCGAGGTCACGGTAAGGACTTATGGATCTTCTTCCCGCAACATCCGTTTGTCTCTCTGTCATCTTTCTCTGGACTGCTTTTAACCATTTTTTATTTTGTCCGTGCACTCTTTGGACAGCTCAGTGATTTAATATTGAGCTCATCTATCAGCCTTTATGGTCAAAGGCTTAAAATAAATTCAACAATTCCCAAAAGTTGATGTTTTGTTTAATTGAATTTGTAGTCGGTTAAAAAGAGCAATAGTTGTTTATTTGTTATGATCCTATCTACATTTTTTCTCCCCTTTTCTACCTTTTCACCTGCTCGTCAGACTTRTACAATACTCAGAGAAATGATCTCCAAGGGTAACAACAAAGCACTGTCAAGATAGCCAGCATCCTGCGGCTTAATTGTTATTAATTTACCGCAATTAAAATGTGTCTCTCTGTCTGYTTTTTTTTTCCATGCCTTGACAAGCGTGGATATTGTTTACACACGACGAGAAACTGTTGAAGAACATTTTCAAGCAATGTCACTGTCTGTGCATAGCTCTGAGCAATTCCGACACACATCGCGATAAAGCCCGTGTTTGAATAGGAGCG